GTTCCTATATTCTCTCCACTTCTCTCTTCTCCAATTCCTTCTCCTACTTCTTCATCTCCTATCCTGTCTGACCCTCCTACATTATTACCTTCAACTCACCAGCACCAAGATTTGCCCCCTACTCCTACAGCTCCCTTAAGAAAGTCTGGAAGACCATCTAAACCACCCTGGTGGCTTACAGATTTTGTCCATCATATCAAACCCTCATCTTCTACTCCTTATTCCGTCACTGATTCCATCAATTACTCTTCCTTATCACCTTCTTATCAAACCTGCTTGTCTTCTTATTCATCCATCATTGAACCAACTTCCTTTGACCAAGCTGTCACTGACAGTAATTAGGTTCAAGCTATGAAACTTGAGATTCAAGCACTTACAGACAATAATACCTGGGAGTTAGTGAATTTGCCTACAGGTAAGTCTCCCATAGGTTGTAAGTGGGTTTATAAGGTCAAATATAAAGCTGATGGATCTATAGAGAGGTATAAATCCAGGCTAGTGGCTAAGGGGTTTACTCAACAGGAAGGTCTGGACTATCATGAGACCTTTTCTCCTGTGGTTAAAATGGTCACAGTAAGGAGTGTGGTTGCCTTGACTGCTCAACATGCTTGGCCCTTGTTCCAGATGGATGTTTATAATGCATTCCTCCAAGGTGATCTTTCAGAGGAGGTCTACATGTCCTTGCCTCAGGGTTTTGGTAGTCAGGGGGAGACTAGAGTGCGTAGACTAATCAAGTCCCTGTATGGTCTGAAGCAGGCCAGCAGACAATGGAACCTGAAGCTGACTTCAGCCCTTGTAGACTCGGGTTTTAGCCGAAGTAAATTGGATTATTCCTTATTTACCAAAAAGAGTGGCAGGGATATAGTAATCATATTAGTATATGTAGATGATCTCCTAATTACAAGAAGTGACAATTATCTAATCCAAGATGCCAAAAAAGATTCTGAATGATAATTTTAAGATGAAAGATTTAGGAGAGCTTAAATTTTTCCTTGGTATTGAGTTTGCAAGATCACAGAAAGGCATTGTTATGAATCAAAGGAAATATGCCTTAGATCTTATCTCAGAATGTGGCTTAGGGGGAGCAAAACCAGTTATATTCCACTTGATCAAAATGTGAAGCTAGCTAGTGTGGAATATGACAAACTATTTGGGAGAGAGGAGAATGATCATGAACTTGAAGACACAAGAGTATACCAGAGGTTGATTGGCAGACTTCTGTACCTGGCAATCACAAGGCCAGATATCTCTTTTGCAGTTCAGACTCTAAGTTAATTTATGAATACACCAAAGCAGTCCCATTATGAAGCATCCCTAAGAGTAGTAAGATCAGCCCAGGGAAATGTCTATTAATGAGCAACAAACAAAGTGGCAAGATTATGGCATTTTGTGATGCTGATTGGGCATCATGCCCAGTTACCAGAAAGTCAATAACAGGTTACTGCATAAAGTTTGGAGATTCAATGATTTCGTGGAAGTCCAAGAAGTAGAGCATAATTTCAAGAAGTTCACCAGAAGCAGAATATAGGAGTATGGCCACAACTGTAGCAGAATTAGTATGGTTACAGGGATTACTTGAGGAGATAGGTGTGAAAGTTGATTTGCCGATGGAGTTATACTATGACAATAAAGCAGCATTGCAGATTGCATCTAATCCTATGTATCATGAACATACAAAGCACATAGAAATTGACTGCCATTTTGTTAGAGAAAAATTGCAAACATGAATGATAAAAACAGCTCATGTACCTAGTAAGGAGCAGATAGCAGACATATTGACCAAGGCACTTGGGAAGCAGCTATACAGTGAAATGGTTAGCAAGTTGGGTATGATAAATATTTTTCATCACCCAACTTGAGGGGGGTGTTGAAATTAGTATGTGAAGTGTAGAGTTGTACATAAGCAATGATGTTTGTACATAGTTGATTAGTGTTAGCTTAGCGTTGATAGTTAATTATTCATGTGTTAGAGTTAGTTAGAATAGGAGATATATAAATGTAAAAGGTCACACGTTTGGTATGAGCCAATAACAGAAAACTTCTTCAGAACTTTCCACTCTCTCTCTTACTCTACTCTATGTTCTTTCCATCTTAGCTCAAGGATCAGATCCCCTTCTCCTTTCAACAATATATCATAAGATAACATAAAAAAATTGGTTCCAAAGAAAACTTGACCGTTATGGTGAAGTGCTGTTGTAAAGGATGACTATTATAGAGATGTGTGACTGTAGGTTTACATGAACTAAAAAATTACATTAAAACAACAACCGATCTAGAAATTATTAACGGTAATTGAATTAATAGTTTTTACCTGTTGAGTTTACCAATTAGTGTATTTTTCTACTTATACAGTTTCTCTTAGCACTTTTAATTCTAAATATAAGTTGAAACAAATAATATTATAGTAACTACTATGTTTCAAGAGTCATTCAATATTAAGAACATATTTTAATAGTTAATTATCAAAGTAGCTTGAAAATATGTCTACAAAGGTACTCAAAGACTTAAGAAAAATTAGTCTAAACTAACATTGTAAGTAGATCGATTTAAGTTTGGATGAATTAAAGACAGGAAACAACTAGTAACTACAATTTAAGATATGTATAACTTTTAGCTATAATTATTTTAAGCAAATAATTTAAAAATTCTACCAATAATGCAATTATAAAATATTATATATATTATAGATTTTGAGGGGGAGAAATTCAAAAATAGCCAGATTTACAAGTGGTCATTTAAAAATAGCCACAGTTTCAAAAGTAATCGAAATTTAACCACTTTTCATGTAAAGATAAATTTGAACGAAAATACTGTTCAAAATCCGGGAAAATACTCCAACATAATATACTGGAGTTCCAGTATAATATACCGGTCCAGGATAATATACTAGAGTTTGGAGCACTGGTGCTCCAGTCTCCAGTATATTATACTGGCGCCAACAAAGTATACCGGTCCAGCATAATATGCTAGAAGTTCATACACAGGTGCACCGAACTCCAGTATATTATGCTGGACCGGTCTCTATTACAACAAAATAGTGGTTATTTTTCAATGACTTGGCAAATGCTGACTATTTTTGAATGACCAACCCGAAAACTGCTAGACCGTGACATTTTGAGGCCCTAAATATTTTGGGGGCCTAAGGCTATTGCCTTAGTGGCCTTAGGCTCATATACATCGTATTTCACATATGCATTTTGCATATTTTTGGAGTTCTCACAAACATTATACACAATTGAAGTGTTTGAATCACATGCACCCATTAAATCAAACTAATCTAAGTGAATTCAAAAACCCAACGAGAACAAAGTGAAAAAAAGTAAGAACTAGCTTAATAAAAAAAAAAAGGAAACAAAATTGGTAGTTTTAATCGTTAAACAATAAGGGAGATCAATATCCGATTTGATATCAAAATCTGTAACATGGCAAGTTGTAATATTTGAATGCTAATGCATTTCATTATCCTACTGAACCAAATCCATGCAATTTCTGGTTAATACACTAGTGGTAGTGGGTCCAAACCATCTAATTTTATATATTAGGAAATGAAATCATTTCCAAAGATATGACTAAACACCTATTCATGTTGAGTTTAAGGTTTATACATCAGCAGGAAAAATAGTTTTTACGCTACAGAAATACAATTTTGCCATCTTTTGCAGGCTAAGTTGACATGTAGTTATATGCCAACTTAACATGATGATGTAAAAAAACTTAGTATATACTTTCAACACACAAAATTTAAACTCTTAAAAATTAATATTTTTTTCCTTTTCGTCTAATAAGTGAATCGTTTGAAAAACTAAAACAACCATATTCATTTTTTAGACACAGATGAAAATGAAACCAATATGTTTGTAATATAGGACAGACATGCCATGAAGGTTACTGTCAACTAATAAAAAAGGGTCTTAAGTGAAGCAGCTGAACTTAAGGCAAGTTTATTAGAGAATAAATCACTAATCACCTGACAAATCATTTTGCATCAAACATCAAATGTCCAAAAGCAGTATGTATGAAAATTTAAGCATAAAGCAAGACAAAGGAAAGATAGAAAACTATAGGCATATTTTGAATGAAAAAAGAAAAAGTAAAATACAGTCAAACTTTTCTATAACAGCTTCGTTTGTTCCGATATTTTTTGGCTGCTATAGTTAACACTGTATTCTGGGCCGGGCCCAGGCCTTCGTGGGCCAAACGGGCCGGTCTTCGTGGGCCTGGGCTCTGGCGGTCCCGGGCTTCGTGGGCTCACCTGGTGGAA